GGGTGGAGAGATTTTGAAACTGGTAAAATCCACATTTAGACCACTGGGCTGTAGGCTCCCAAGGCGGAATATGAGATGCTGCTCCTCTGGTTTCCGGGTGGCGTCATTGTGATACTGGAGGAGGCCCAGGATGGACATGTCACCCAGGGAGTTGGGGGGGTAGTTGAAATGGTTCATGACCACAAGGTATTGTTGTTTGTCGCGAACAGAGTGCAGGTACTCTACAAAGCGGTCTCCGAGCATTCGCTTGGTCTCACCGATGTAGAGGAGACCACATCGGGAGCAGCGGATGCAACAGACCACATTGACAGATGTGCAGGTGAACCTCTTCTGATGTGAAAGGTTTGTTAGGTACCTTGAATGGAGCTGAGGGGGGAGGTGTAGGGGCAGGTATAGCACTTCCTGAGGTTGCAGGGCAAGGTGCCAGGGGTGGTGGGGCTAATGGGGAGTGTGGAGCGGACGAGGGAGTCGCAGAGAGAGCGATCTCTATGAAAGGCAGATAGGGGTGGGTCCAGACATTTTATCTTCAGAATTTTGTTTGTCCTATTTATATTGTTTTCCACCCATAGTATATGTTAAACGATTTGTCTTCTGTTGGTCTAAATTGTGATTGTGTGTGTGTTTGGGGTTTTAAAGGGGTGCAGTTTAAACTGCTAAAATTAGAAATCCATCCCTTTCATTGTTCTTGTTAAAGTAAGTGTGTTACCATAATTTTTTTCTGCTGTTACTGAAGACAGCTGACGTGTTTGCTTTTGTCCTGGGTAACAGTCAGCCAATTGGTTTTTGGTAGTCTCATTGGGATTATTATATATTTTGTGGCGATTTATGGAGTAATGGCTTATGATTATTAACATACTATTCCTAGTTAAGTTGCAACAATACTTAATATTTATTCTGTTTCAATATTACTAATCATTCCTGCAAATGGCCTAATATCTTGAATTGGGACTGGACTATTATTTTCTGATCAGTGCCTACATAATTGTGGCATGATCTTAGCAGAAAACCCTTATTCCTTGTGCTGCCTACCAAAAGATAATTATTTTGAATTCTCCTCTCTTTATGGTTGATGGACTAGATAAATACTTACAGATAATTAATTACAAATTTAAACTCCAGCTTTAAATCAACAAATGAGACACTGAGCTGTACTTTTCAATACATTCCTTGATACATAAAATAATCAACGTAGAATTTGTTTTCTCTCTAAATGTTGATCACAAAATAAAAGGCAACTTAGTAGCTTAACCTTTCCAGTCTAACTACACAGACGAGTTGAAAAGCAGACTGCTGGCTATAAAGCTTACAGACAAACCTTAGTAAAAAGTGTTACAAGAAGTCTCTAAGATGGCATTCCTGCACACCAAGCCACTGATCACACAGGACTTTAACCAATCAAGAGGCCTGTCTTCTGTTCAAAGCAATCAAACAGCTCTTAAAATCAGTTACTATTCCTAGATTTAGGGGCAATCCTTTGACATATATAACCAGGAAGCTTCCTGAGCTCTGCCTTGTTACATTTTTAACGAGGATTGCATGGACCAACATAAATTAAAAGCGATTATAATGTGAGTTTTCTCAGACAATAGCATTAAGCAAATGAGATTTGCTGAAACTGAAAGAATCTACAAGACATTTGTGAAGGCAGTTTTATTAAATGGTACAAAAATTCTGTCATCAAAAAGAGTGTAACAACGACTAGACGTTAATGAGATGCAAATACTAAGAAGAATATTTGGAGTTATAAGAAAGGCAAGGTAAGGAACCAGAACATCAAGAAGACAATGAATATTGCAGAAGCATTGAAGAAAGTAGCTGAGAAGAGGCTGAAATGCAATGGTCACTTGATGCAGAGAGAAGAAATATAATAAAGAATGATGGACATGTGACTGCCAAGAAGGATGAGAAGCAGAAGGCCTAAGGCTTATGGAAACATGTGATACTAAAAGAACTAAATATAGCATGAATAGAAGAGAAATGGACAATCAAAAGTAGACAGAGAAGGGTGATCCAGCAGAATTGTGGCAACAGCAAGTAAAATAGGAGAAGCCAAATGAAAACAATGGTTAAGAGCTCTAACTACAGTAACCGTGCACCTCACCCCAAACCTATAAAGCAATAATTTTCATTTGCGTGATTCAGAGTCCCTAAACGTCGTGATGGGATTTTATAGCAACAGACCAAAAATAATAATTAACCTGTGTTTGCTCTGTTCAATCTAATATTCTATCCACAGGAACATAATTTTCCTTCATCAAAAGTTTATTGAAATTATATGTAATACCAACTGTACTTTATGCACTGAGTTATAAGTATCTTGAAAAGACATGACGTCTCTTTCACAAATCCATTCTGACAGTTCTAAACAAGGTATAATCTTTCAAATTTTCTCTAGTTGCTTCTTCAGGGCAATTAAGAGCATCTACATCCCAAGTGCGAATCAAAAAATCATAATCTGATGAATTTGCATTTCTTAAACATTGTGATTTATTAAATAAGTATGAGACACTCCCTCAAAGTTACAGAAGTGTCTGATACCTAGCTTTTCTGTACTTAAATATACGTGCATTCACTAAGACTTTTCCTGAGTTTACTGTAGGCCAGGTGTTACGATGAAAATAATGCTCCACTCTGTAGAAAACAGGAATGACTGCAAGATGTCAGCCAATTTCTCAATACTGAACATCAGTGTTTCAAACAGAAAGGTTTCTGGAGCTTTTGTAATTATTTTCTGATCAAATCTTTGTTTCAACTCTTTCTGGTATATCAACGTCCTCAATTCCTTCAAATTCTAATTTAATTCAGTTTACAGTTGTTTTGACAAATAGAGATGCATTTAGTGCTACTTATTTACATTCCTTCACCAGGTTTGACTCCGAGGGGAGTGGGATGCAAAATCAGGCAGACAGTTAACTCACCAAATACCCAACCACCCCAAGCTCATCTCCATTATAGGGTGGGAGCCAAAATTAGCAGCATTCCCACCATATGTAAGTAAATAGTTAAGACTCAGTTGAACCTGTTAAAATTAAGACCACAATACAGAGTAATACAGACTGTTTAAAACTGCAAGGAGGAAGTGGAGGGGTATCAAATTTGAAGGATGTTCTTCATCAATCTGGGCCAACTCCTTAAAAGACGGCATCCCCATTCCTTCCTACCCCCACAGCCTTAACACCCACTGTTCTACACCCCTCACTTTAGGTGGCAAACCTTGACCCCACCTGATCTGGTGAGTAATTACCTGGAGCCTGAGTTCTTGCTTCCTTTGTAGGTCTGCCTGCAGTCCCAGCAGCACCCATTACTGACTCCCAACGCTGCCAACACTGTTGGGGGTGCCAGCCAATCTGATTGATCAGCAGCTAAGACGATGGTATTTCCCCACCAGTGAGGGGCACAAGTCCCACTCTGTAGTAACTTAGCTTACCTGCAGTACTTTATAGTTTTGGGGCAGGCTTGTTCTCTATCCATAATCGACTGCCTTTCCACGTGGGGATCAATACAGTGCGGAGGTGCAGGAACACAGCAGGTCAAGCAGCATCAGAGGAGCAGGAGCATCGGCATTTCAGGCCTGGACTCCTCATCAAGAGGGGGAAGTAGGCTGAAGAATAAATAGAGGGAGGAGGAGTGGGGCTACTGGAAGGTAGTTCGAATGGCAATTGATGGATGCAGGTAGGGGTAGTGGGGACCAGTCAGTGGGAAGGGTGGGGTGGATAGGTGGGGAAGAAGATGGACAGGTATTGTCAGGTCGAGGAGGCGGGGATGACAGGGAGGGTTGGACATGGGATGAGGCCGGGGGTGGGGAGATTTTGAAACTGGCCAATTCCCACTACCCCTACCTGCTTCCACCTATTGCAATCCTACCTACCTTCCCCCAGCCCCACACCTCCTCCCTCTATTTATTCCCCAGCTCCCAGCCCTCTGCCCCCTCCCCAGTCTTGATGAAGGGTCCAGGCCCAAGAAGTTGACTCTCCTGCTCTTCTGATGCTGCCTGACGTGCTGTGTTCCTCCAGCTCCACACTGTATTTACTCTGACTCCAGCATCTGTAGTTCTTGCTATCTCTTCCTTCCAGGTGGATTGAGTGGGTGGAGGTTGTGGTGAGCCATCCTTCCTCCTGTGAATTTCTGGCTGTAATGGCAGAATTCATTGAAAGCCATATTCTTCTCAGTGTTTATGTTTGTTTTGAAATAAATTCTCAACTACTCTTGAGGGAACTTAGAATTCCAGAAACGTAAATATGGAACTATCCTTCCAAACCACCTGTGATAGGAAGGACATGGATCAGGGATGACCGAAGAGATTTTCATGCACAAAAAAAACGTTCAGGAAATACGACACCGCCTTGATGAGTTCTCTAAATCTATGTACTGAAAACAATGTGAGGCTTTCCTGGTTATAGCAACAATCTAAAGCCTTGTTAAAATTGAATTATTTTAGTTTGAAAAGTTATATTTTACATGCCAGCTATTACACATAATTTTCAAAATGCTGATTATTTTTAATAAATACTGCGACACTGAAAATGCTAACATCATGAAGCTTGAGATCAGAAAATTCAGTGATATTGGGACGACAGGGCTCCAAATCTGTTCCTTTTTGTCAGCTTCTCTAAGTAAAATAAATGTCTGAATAGGCAGAAACCTTCACAAACCACTACTTGTAAAATAATTAGTTTTTTATTCGCTTTGAAATGACAACTCAATTTCTGGAAGACTATCAACTTTTATTATGAACTAAAAATACCAATAAAAATCAAATGAAAAACATTTTTTATCCTCTCTTGAATAAGAATAGTTTTAACGTCTTACTTTAAAAAGATACAGTGTATTGAAAAAGTACAATACCTGTTAATGCTAGGTTTTGAGCATATTTCAAAAAGATCTGATGTCTAATCTAATTTGCATAGTTAATTTTTAGTATTTTAGAACATGGGGTTTGAATATCCACCCCAATTAATGGTGTTAACATCACAGTAGCTTGAAAAAATGGTGACAGGTACCTTATTCCTTATCCGCTCCCTTTTAGATCCCATGTCATCATTTTTGTCTTCTTTACCCAGTTTTTCTATTTTCTCAGTACTGAACATGTAGCTCAGGCTGTCTCCCTTCTTTTCTCTTTCCTGTCCATGGTCTTTCCCTCTTTTTGTTTCTTCTTCTTTTGTTCTCATAGCCCTCTCTACTTCATAACGCTCTTTTTGCTTTCTGCGCTCATCCTCACGCCGCCTCTGTCGCTCTCGTTCTCGTTCTTTTTCCCTTAATCTTCTTTCCCGTTCCCTCTCCCTACGTTCTCTATCACTATCGTTTGGCTGTCTATGTAAAAGAAAATTCAAAGTTAGTTTTATTTCTATTTGAATTGTTGTATACAATGGCATATATATTTAATAACCTATTAAGGCAGTTAGCAACTCTATTTATGGAGCTCAAATTATACAGACCAGCTATAATTTTATATTACAATTCTGAAGACTAAACCGAAGTTTTGATAAAAGCTAAAGTGATGTCAAGTTTCAACGCTGTAAGCATTTACAGCAGTGCTAAAAATTAAAGCCTGCCTTGTGTGAATTTTAATAATATAATCATAATTGACTCATTAATTAATTTCAATGGAAAGAAAAATCAGACAAATTATATGCTTGGTGGCTGTTTAATAGCTCCTATTCTACATTAGCTCCTAGTCATAAAATTATCTCGTCTGATTACATAAAATGTAATTCTAAGCACTACAAATTCTTCATTTCAGGTCACTTACTTACAATTTTAATTTCAAAGAAGATCATTTTGTAATAACTGTTAATTGGAATTGTTAGCATTTCTGAAAATTCTCAAATGTTGCATTTTTGTTTTGTTTTCTACAGATTATGTTACTGACATCAACAAAGGTGGACAGTCATTTTCAGATTAATTGCATATAAACTGAAAATTTCCAGCTATTTGATAACTGTAACTTCAGACAAATACATCATCTGTTTGTCACCTTTTAGAGGGTTAATTATTTGTTAAATAATCTTGTTACCTCTTCTACTTTTTTTTGAGTGGAAATAGCTGCAGCCCTTGTCTTAAACAAATCAGTGCTCTGAATAAAATGTTTTTAATAAATGTAAATAAACATGAATGACATTTGTTTCACTTCTCTGTAAATCAAACAATGAGAAATAACTATGATATTGAGAAATATAGAGAAAATGCAACAATTAAAAGAAATACAGACTGAATAAAAATTGTAGCTTTTGTTATTAAAGAAATTTTAGAATTTCAGAAATTTCCAAAAACAAACACCACTTTCTAGCTTGCTTTAATAATGAAATTAATGTCAAAACCATACCTTTTGCTTGTGATATATAAAAAATGTCTAATGGTGAATTAGTTACATCAATAGCACAATTATAAATGAGTCACAAAAATAATTCAAGTAATTTTCAAATTATTTTTGTTAAAAATATATTTGACATATTGGTCAAATTGTTTTGAAATAATCAAAATCATTGTGTTCACTTTCATGAATGAAATTTCAGATTAACAGACAATGAAATACTTAGTAGCTTCTACTATATAACTGTATTTGTTACAACTCACTTATCTTTGACATCCTTCTGCGAAATCTCTGGCCGTTTTCCTTGCAGGTTGCCTGGGCAACACGATTTTTCCCATTTTCCTTTTCCATTGTCACCATCCTCAGTTTTTTCCTTCCGTTTGTCTGAGTCTTGTTCCTCCTCTTTATCAGCCTTTTTTAATAACTAAAGATTACAATATAATGTAATAACAAAGGTAGATTACAAAACTTACACTGAAGGGTTATTTAAAACCTTTACTTTCCAGGATTATTTTGATTTGTGCACCTGAGACTGTGTTCATGAGTGAGTATGAACTCTCCAAACCTTCAAGGGACTGTCCATCTTACCATGATCTCTAGGTAACCTTTTAATGGTGACGTATTCAGTAAACAAACATCCAAACTTGTCTGGGAATTGCTTTTAGCTACCAGACTGCTTTATGTTTCCATGTGTTTTGTCTTTAAATTTTGAAATATAAAGGTAAAAATCCCAAAGACTCCTGCAAAAAAAAGGGGCTGGAAGAACAGTGAATTGTTTCTTCTTCATTTCAGGTCAACTAATTTAAATTGGAAGCAGGCCAATTGTTAACTACTGCGCACTTTTCATAACCTTCCTGAAGACTGGATCTGGACAGGCAATGCAGCCTACTGACTTACAATCTTTGCTGCAGAGAACAGTGTCAATCCCCTGACTACACTGTCCCCAACTACCATGACATACCTTTTTGCTCCCCCCAGTTGAATAGTTTCCTGTACTTTAATGCCACAGTCAGTTAGCTCAACCACCCTCATCCAAAGAAGCCGAAAGAATCTCAAACCTCTTGGACAATTACAAAGTCTGAGGCTCCTGTCCTGTTCTGTGGGTGCCTTTACTTTCCTCAGCTACAGTCACACTCCCCTGTCACTGGCCAGAAACAAAAGCAGAATGTGCTTTAAGTAACCTTTTAACTCAATTACTCATTTCCCTTTTATATTTTTATCGAATTTACTATCAGTTCTTGAGTTATTTTTAACTTCAGGAAGAGATAGGCTTTAACTTAACAGATACTCACCAAGAAGTTAGCTTCTTTCCCTACAGTCATTTAAAAACAAATTTCTACAGAATGAAAAAAACTTAGAAAAGACAAAGCAAAGAAGCATCTCTATGCCCTCTTTCCCTAACTTCCTAATGCACCCTACCACTGTTACTCTAATCAACATCACAATCAGTGTGAAATTGCACTGAGATCCCTGTATTTAAATGCACCTGAAATGAAAGAGTTACCTGACATCAGGTACAGAAAAAAATTAAATTGTTTTCCTCAAGTAATGATCTCAGCTTCTCTTCCAGTGGAGACCTTGTAAAAACCTGCATAGCACTGGGAAATTTAGAACTTAAATAGTGTTAGATAAATGTTAGATACAATCAAAATTTGATCGTTACACAGTGATTAAGACTCCTTCACTCACCTAGCTGTTAGCACTTAAATGGAGAATACAATGTAAATTCATGCAAACTGTAAGTTAACATTAAAATTATTCTTGCATCATAATGGGACCAGAAAACTGGTTAATAACCGTCAATTTGAACTCTTCAATCACTTCACTCAATTTTTCATGGAATGGACTAGTTGTTTCTACTTATTTTACCTCCTGATAGAGGTCTAAAATTTAAGAAGGGACATATGCATACTTATCAATACCTCTTGCTTACATCTTATCGTTCTGTTTGCTGCCTCAAAAAAAATGCTCGATTGAGGCAGTTTGGAAGGAAACATTTAGTGTGGAATTCCTGCTGTGATTGCATGAACACTGATATAAATGGTACAATCCATTTAAACTCGACTGTCCTCAGTGCCAGTCCAAGGCTAATTCTAACCTTCAATGCTAGATAAACGGAAAAACAGAAAAGGCGGCAATAAATGTACAGACATCTCTTTCCCTCAAATAGAACTGGAACCAAATCTGCAGAATATACTTTTTTTTTAAAATCAAAGACTTTGAGGAGAAAGCATGCCTCTTTTCACCTCTGGAATTGGAGCTTGATTTCAAAAGGGATGAGATCAGATTACTGCAAACACAATTGATAGGAAATTCTCTCCCCCTGCTGGCAAGGACTCCCATTATAATAATCTTGCAGTTTTTTGCAATTATGAAGTCGCAAAGTAAAACTGTATAACTTAAAAAATAAATCCTCAGTTTTGCAGCATAAGTGCAGGGTAAGGGAATAAAAAACTGCACATTTGCAGAAGGAGAGTAGGAAATTCCTCTGTGTCTTATATTTATCCCATAATAGCTGCTGTAGTCTATGGAAAACTTGCAACACATGGCATTTTCTCTGTAGCTTTCAGATTATGGATAAAGCAAATTATTGTAACAGTCTGGCGGAAGAAATATTACCTGCATCTAACTTATATCGCATTGAAAACTTAAAATCAGTATTATATGCCTCAATGTTAAAACAAACCCTAAAATCCCATGGTTCAAAAACTACTGCTACAGCACCCTGATATATGTTGCAAAGGTGACCACAGTACCTTTGATATTACCAGGAAAAACACTAGGAAGTGTTACTATTATTATTTAACTCTAGCCAATTGCTGAAAATATCCAGTTCATAATTTATATACTTTAGAAAATAGCTTTTAGTTTCAGGAATATAAATTGGAGATTAAAAGTGTTAATGTAAGACAAATTGAAAACGTCTGGTAAAAAAAAATTTTAAAAAACTCTAATGTCAAGGCAAATTAAACCAAGATGGGATTTAGTTTATCTGTGCTTATTTCATAAGGTTAGAGTCAATAGTAATACAACCCATAAGCAATGAATGACTCATTTCTAGACCTCTTGATAGAGCCAGGCTGTCTGTTGTTACTTCCATAAAAGAAGCTAAATCCCAGCAATTCTGCAAGCAACAGATGGAGGAGTAAAAAACAGAATGTACAGCATAAATCCTTATAAATTATAGTGTTAACTTTATGCTGTTTGCTTTGCTTAATTTTTCTTCATCTTGAGTAGTGGAGGCAGTTCAGAGGAGGTTCACTAGATTGATTCCAGAGGTGAGGAGTTTGCCTAAGAGGTTGAACAGTTGGGCCTAGGCTCTCTGGAGTTTAGAAGAATGAGAAGAGATCTAATTGAGATATATAATATGCTAAAGGAGACTGACAAAGTTGACATTAAGGATCTTTCCTCACATGGGGCAAGCTAGAACAAGAGGTCATGGTTTTAAAATAAGGAGTAGCAGATTTAGAACAAGAAATTACTTCTCAAAGGCTTGTAAATCTGTTAAATACATATCCCACATCTGATGGATGCTGAGGCACTGAATAAATTTAAGGTGGGGGATAGCCAGATTTTTAAATGAGTAATGGATTGAAGGGTTATGAACAGCAGGCAGGAAAGTGGAGCTGAGGCCAAGGCGAGATCAGCCATGAGCGTATCAAATGGCAGAGCAGGCTCAATGTTGAATTGCGTATTTCTGCACTTAATTTATACGTTTTAACAAAGTTTTTTTTGTTTAAAAAATATGAAATCCTGTAGTGTAGTTGTGTTGATTAATTGCTGAGTATTGGGATTTCTTCTTTAAACATTAACATCCCCAACAGAATCATAGCACAATTTTGACTTTGTAACTCTGATTCCTTCACAGTTACATTACCTCTTGGGTGATAACCTTGCCCACCTAGTGCCTAGTATCCCAAATACAATGAAATAAAGTGTACAAATATTTTTCCAATTTTGACAAGATGCAAGGTTTGCATGAAATGTGGTTATCTAATTTTTTTTAAGAAGTTTTCAAAGGAATGATTCCTAAAACAATCTTAATCATTGCAGGGCTTTTTAAAACGTTGCTGCTCCACCTTATATATGTTTGCTGCTTTTCTTACATTAGTTCATGAAACAGTGAAATGAGAAGGAAAGGGTAAAATTGAATATCGTAAATTTTTAAAAAAATCTCAGGATGCTCAGTGAATTATCTCGCGTATTACCCCAGATAAGGCCAAGCTTCAAATTCTGTCTGTGTTATTTCAATTAATTGTCACCTTGGTGACATTAGAGGGTGCCACAACTGATCACAATGGTTCTAAACTTGGGAAAAGAAATAAGGTTTCACTGACACTTAACAGTTCTGGCACGAAATACCCATATGTACTTATCATTCAGGGATAGGTTTGACTGTAATACCTTGAAGTCAAATAATCTGCTACCAATCTCATCAAAGCCTTAAACTTGAATAGCCACACACACGAAGAATAATTTGGTAAGGAGATGCAATAGCATGTGATTTGTACACTACCAAGAAGTTCAGCCTTTGTACAATTTGCAATATAAAAGTTAGGGGGTGCTGGTGAGGAGAACAGTTTACTCATTTCAAGAAATGTTTGTCCTATGCTACTGGGGACATTACGCAGCAGTGGTAAATGTAAATCATATGTTTTGTTAAGATGCCATCTTATGCACCAAAAACAGGAAGAATAATATTTTTAAAAAGGTGCTAATAATCTACAAAGATATGAACCTTAATTTTTATTTCTTCTTTTCTTTCCTTCTCTGCTATTTTTTTCTGTTTTTCTGCTTCTTTCCTTTTACGCCTTTCTTCCTCTCTACGTTTTCTTTTTTCTTCCTCTCTCAAACGTTTTTTCTCCAGTTCCCTCCTTCTCCTCTCTTCTCTTTTCTCCTCTCTGATTCGCTGAAATATAACAAGTTTAATTGAGCAAAATACCACGTTTAGGACCGATGCTAAAGTTTATAGTGAACATAGGTTTAAAAATAAAGTTCCACCTGTTTTTCAAGCTTCTTGTTTTTAATATACTCCAGAAGTGGTGTGGTTCTCCTGGCTGGGAATAAGGCAGGAATCAAATTTAGTTTTCCAAACCAATCAATTCTAGATCACTCCTTTAAAATGAAATATGTTGGTACAGCTTAAAATCATTTCATGCAAAACTGTATTGCTATTACATGTCTTAAAGGAATCTCATCAATAATTATTTCAAAAATACATTCTGATTAACTTCAACGTCAATAAGTTTTGTTAATTTCTAGACATTTTTTAAAAAAAGTACATCACTGGTGAGGGCTTCTGTTAATTATTAAGACTGTTGCTTTTTGAATTTACCCAATTAACATTGTGGAACAGATCTCAAACTGACAATACTGAAGGAAGTGCGATTATGCAGTGGTTCAGTAGTCACAATCGTGACTTTAAAGCAACTGCGCACCTGTGTTCTTGTAGACACGCAGCTGCTTCCAAGTTCTGCTTACACCTTTAAGTTCCTGGCTATAGACATTCTCCAGTGTTAGGAATTGGTCTGTACCCACTAGCAATGCAAAAAACAAAATTTCAGGCTGTACATATAAACCAAGATGTGGAGTAGTCACTGAGCCCAGTACTGCAAGGAATCACAGAATTCACAAAACAGAATGATGCCATCCAGCCCATTGTGCCTATGCCAAGTCCACCTCCTTAACTAGCACTATCAACTGTCATTCTCTGTCCTTTCTTTCTTACTCAAAAATTATATTATAGATTAATACACACATTGTGTATGATGCAATTGTTACAGAAAGTATGAAGTAGGATGAACAAAACTGTGTTCACAGGTTAAACTGCAATATTTATACCAGGCAGTTTACAGTAGACAAATTAATGTATTCAATTAGCAGGCTGATACTGCCTAAAGTCAGGGGATATTCAAACTGCCAAACTATTCATTAAGGAGACATATTCTTTTAAATAGAGTTTTAAACTCTTCAACAGAGTTGGTTGTGTGGTTTAAGGATGATGATTACATCTTAATCAGATCAGACTGTGGGACATTTCTGCTTATGGCTCATCGGTTCAATATGCAAGAGGTAGACGTAAACAATATTAGAGAAAGAAAGAATGTGCATTTATAGAGCATTTCACATAACCTTATAGGCAATGAACTGTAGTCTCTACAGTCCTTTGGTCAGAAAAACAGAAATGGAATTACAGAGTATTTCTTCAATGGTGAGCATCTGGTTAGTGCTGAACTTCAAAGAGACTTGGATATCCTTGGTCATGAGTCATTGAAAGTTAATATACAGGTACAGTAAGCAATTAAGCCAGATGGTACGTTGGACTTTTTCTTTTACAAGAAGATCAGAGAATAGGAGTAAAAGATTTCTTACTGCAATTGCATAGTGCCTTAACGAGTTCACTCTAGGAATATTGAGTGGATTTACCAAAGGAAAGATAAACTTAACAGAGAGGGAGTGCAACAGAGGTTCACCAAATTAATTCATGGGACAGATGGATTGTCCTACAAGAACATTTAAATATCAGGTATCTATATTCTCCAGAGTTTATAAGAATGAATGGTGATCTTATTTAAACATAAACATTCTTGCAGGACTTGAAACAGTCAATGCTGAAAGCATGTTTGCCCTGACAAGGATGGTCCAGAACCAGAGGCAAGATTTGTGGTAGAATTGTGCAAGAGATCTACTGAGGGCCAGCAGGAGTAACTTGCTGTATCTTTTATGTGTCTACCTGGCGCAGAAGCGAATTTCTCTCTAAACAGTTGCGAGTTGCCAATTAAGGGAGATTCTAAATTGTCAAACACCTAATTGAGGGCACAGCTCACCTCACTAATATTCAGCTTCCTGTCCTAACAAACGAACCTAACAAACTAGACATCCCAAGTTCTTGACATACAAGTCAGATCGGGTACTGGTGTGTTCAGCTCACTGCTGACTGTAAACAGCTAATTAGCACAGTCAAATGACTAGGCAGTTTGCCTTCTGGTTAGCAGTCCTCAGTCAAGAAGGTATACATCTCGCCAAGTGGCAGTGTGCTTCATCAATCTCACACTTGCAAAACGTGCCAGCAGCATACGCAGCAAACACACAGCACATGTAACAAGCAAGCAGCCACGTCTCAACATCTTATGAGAGTAATTCCCACTAAAGTTCATGGAGGTACCGTCAATCAGTTGGTTCTGACACAATAAGTCAAGGGCAGCCTTTGACCCCAGTCCAGGGGACTGGCAACAGTCAGAGGTCCAATCGGTGTGTTCTTAGTTCAGAGATCTGTGTTTGTCCTGTCCACTGAAAGGATTAAGGTCAATCGTGTGGCTTCACAGCTGCCAGTCTGTGTGTGGCCATGAGCCTAATGTGGCTGGGGAGACATACAGGCCTCAGTATGGGGTTTGGGAACTTGTTGCCCAGGCTTTCCAGCTAGGTGTCTCTAGGGCGTAGACCACGGTCAGTCCGTCTACAGAACGTAGTGGAAACGGAGGTGGGGAAGAACAAGATGGGTAGCTATCACGGGAAGGAGAATTTAGAACCTATTTCCTCTCTCATCTTACGCATACACTAGTGGTACCCAGTGAACCTTCACAAAGAAGCCAGCACTGGAAACTCACAGCTCCATCTTTGAGGAGGAAGCCACCCGAGGTACCTTAAGGTGATGTGCCAGCAAGGTATTCATCTGCACCATCACAAGCTCTCACCTCAGTGGTACACTTTCAAGATTAGATCGGAGAACACATGCTGGCGAGCACATCACTGACATGCTTCCGCAACTGGTCAAAGAAGGCAGGCCCTAGGTCTCTGGCAATCAGACCACTTCTAGAGACCAGACACTTATTCAGCCCCACACTGAAGATAATCCTATAGTCTTGGCCATTAACAACTTGGTCAAACTCCAGAAACAGGAACAGGGACAGAGGCACTTCTAACCTGGAACAAAGGATAGAGGAACCCAAAAACATTATCAGCAGTGTACTGGCACTGCCATCTGTGTGTCTAACTGCCCCCATGGACAGATTGGCAACTGTGTTAGAAAGCCAAGTGCAGCATACTTGGTGTCTGCCAGATACACGCACATAGACATGCATTCCATTGTTCTAGCTATAGGTGCTCAATATTAGTGACAACTCAAGAGACAAATGAGGGACTTTGACCTCAATTCCACATGAAACGTTAACATAGAAACATTGACGATAGGAGCAGGAAGGGTCCACTCGGCCCGTCGAGCCTTCTCTGCCATTCATCACGATCATGGCCGATTGTCCAACTCAAGTTGCCTAATCCTGCATTCTCACCATAACATTTGATCCCATTTGCCCCAAGTGCTATATCTAGCCACCTCTTGAATACATTCAATGTTTTGGCATCAACTACTTCCTGTGGTAATGAATACGAAAGGTTCACCACTCTTTGGGTGAAGAAATGTCTCCTCATCTCCATCCTAAATGGTCTACCCCAAATCCTCAGACTGTGACTTCTGGTTCTGGACACACCCACCAGCGGGAACATCCTCCCTGCATCTACCCTGTCTAGACCTGTTAGAATTTTATAACTTTCTATGAGAGCCCCCACCCCCATTCATCTGAACTCCAGCAAAAACAATCCTAACCTAGTCAGTCTCTCCTCATACATCAATTCCGCCATCCCTGGAATCAGCTTGGTAAATGTTCACTGCATTCCCTTGAAAGCAAGAGCATCCTTCCTCAGAAAGAGACCAAAACTGCATTCAATATTCTAGGTGTGGCCTCACCAAGGTTCTGCATAACTGCAACAACACATCCCTGCTCCTGTGCTTGAAACCTCTCGCAATGAAGGCCAACATACCATTTGTATTTTTTACCGCCTGCTGTACCTGCATGCTTAGCTTCAGCGACCGGTGCAAAAGGACGCCCAAGTCCCGCTGCACACTCCCCTCTCCCAATTTACAGCCCTCTTGTTTTTGCTTCCAAAGTGAATAACCTCACATTTATCCAAATTATACTGTATCTGCCATTGATTTGCCAACTCACTCAACCTGTCCAGATCATGCTGAAGGATCTCTGCATCCTCGTCACAGTTCACCCTCCCACCCAACTTGGTACCATCTGCAAACTTTGAGATGTTACATTTTGTTCCCTCATCCAAATCATTAATATATATTGTGAATAGCTGGGGTCCCAGCACTGATCCCTGTAGCACCCCAGTAGTTACCCCCTGCTAATATGAAAAGGACCCATTAATTCTTACTCTTTGTTTCCTTTCTGCCAACCAGTTTTCTATCCATCTCAATACACTGTCCCCAATCCCATATGCTTTAAATGTACACAATAATCTCTTATGCCGGACTTTTGTCAAATGCTTTCTGAAAGTCCAAATATACCACATCGACTGGCTCGCCCCATCAACTTTACTAGTTACATCTTCATAGAATCCAACAGATTTGTTAAGCACGATTTCCCCTTCATAACTCCATGCTGATTCTGTCTGATCCTGCCACTACTTTCTAAATGCTCACTAAAAAGTCTTTGATAACGGATTCAAGAACTTTCCCCATTACCAAGAAACTATTTCTCTCTTCACAAATGCTACCAGAACAGCGGAGTTTCTCCAGGACTTTGTTTTTGTTTCAGATCTCCAGAATCTGCAGTTCTTTGTTTTATTACTTGGACGTGATAGCCTAATATCTTAAGAAAACCTGAAGAGTTATCTACCCTTTGGGCTGTGCAATGTTAGTATACAGTCTTACTAACTGCTGGTTTTTACCCCAACAGTCAGTCAGGTAATGTGCACATACTTGTAATTGGGATCCTTGAAAGATATTAAGTGTAAAATCACAAGGATAATGAGACATCAAAAGGTCAAGGACTGCAAAAATAGTAAGTCCTTTGTACTAACCGGGGTCTGTTTGCTAGATTACTAAAAGAATCTTAAACAAGTGAAGGAAGTCCAGAGTCAGCTCTTCTTGGCAATGGGTTTCAGTTAGGGTAACTCTGGCTTCTTCGGCTGTGTAATGCATTGCTGTGCCATGCTGTCTTGAATGGCCCTCCTGATCAACATCCTCATCCTCAGCCTCATCTTTATCCTCATAAGATTACTGTCATTCTGCATTTCCTCTACGTCTAGAATGTCCCCCTTCACCCACTTGTCAGCATCAGATGTGAAGGTATAGTATACCACAATGAGACAGGATATGCTTACCGGGCAATATTGCAAAACTCTGCCAAAGCAGTCCAGACATTGAGATCTCTTGTTGTAGAGACTTACAGTCTCCATTCTGCCATGGTTAAAGTGTCAGCAGTGTTTATAACTTTGTCCTGTATCAGCCTTCCCTGCATGGCTCAAGGACATTGAGAGGAGACAGAAGCTAAGAGTTCTCTACTAAGAGTCATGGCAGCCTCATGATATATGCTGCACGCCTCCAGAGTTTGGTATCAATGGTCACATACAATTTGGATACCTGTCAAGTTGAAGACATGTCTATTGACAAACTCTTGATGGTAGGTCACTCTCAAAGTAATGTGGGTGTAGTTGATAGCACCCCACACCAGAGGGAAGCATGTGATGG